CTTCTTGGACATCTAACTGACTCCATTGCTCAAATGGATATTGGCGATCCAAATGAAGAAGACTTTCCTGTTTGGAATACAACAACAACAACAACAACAACAACAACGGTCCAGTATAATTTCATAAGTGGGGTCTGGGGAGGGTAATATGTACGCAGACCTTACCCCTACCCCGAGAGGCAGAGAGGCTGTTTCCAGGAGACCCTCGGCTCAAGAAAGCAACAAGAGACGATATATTAGTACTATCAATAGACTCATAATAAAATAATATAAAATAACATAACATAACCTAAAATAACATAAAATAACAAAATAACAACAATATAAGAAATATAGGAAATACGAAAAGGATGGAAGGTAAGCCCTGCATCAGTAGCTGACCAGTATCATCCTAAGACTACCTCCTAACTGGCTAGTCTCACTCTAGTGCACTGTAGAAATATTCACAATTTTCCCCTAACCTACAACCTTAATGCTCGACCTCCACAATTCCCTGTCAAGGGCCATGTCCTCAGTAATCCTAAGTCGCGCCATGTCCTGCCTGATCACCTCGCCCCAATACTTCTTAGGTCTCCCTATACCTCTCCTCGTGCCCCAATACTTTCCTGTTTGGAATATTTCTGATAATTGGGCATTTCTCTTCTACTTTTTCTTGGCAATCTATTAGATTTAAAAAAGCAAAAAAATGATTTTATAAACAAAATCTGGCATAGTCTCTATCTCTTTTTAAATCTCTTTTATCACTTGGAGACTTCAAAAATAGATTGCCTTTTTTATTATGTTATAGCCAGAGTTGGCTCTAATATCATTTGTAGATGTTCCTATTGTTTTTCTGCGCAAATGGAGACAATGCAACATATTTTTAACAATAGCGATGCAGCCAACTTCATTTGGAATTCCATTGGAAATACACTTGGAATCAAGCACAAATAAGAACCTGTAATTGCTGCTTTCAAGAGATGGTGGAAGACGAACGCCAACAATAGAGTTCATAAACAAATCCTCCAGATTGCTCCCATGGTCATCTGTTGGGAACTTTGGGAGTAGAGAAATGCGTGTAGATATGGAAAGCAGAAGAAGTTTCAACTCAACACCGTAAGACATCAAAGCATTTGGGCTTTAAAAGCAGCAATCTCCAAATATATTCCAGATGACTTTGCTTAACTGGATTGGCCTTCATTGTGTGAAAAAATTGAGAGACTCAAGCCATTGCAAAAATCGATGTAAGTTATATGGGAACCTCCTTTGTCGGAAACTGTCAAAGTTAATACTGATGGTAGCTTTAGCAAGAAAAGTGGAAAAGCCGGCATTGATGGGGTGGTTAGGGACTGTCATGGCGACCTCATCATGGCCTTTTCTGTGCCTATAAATTGTGTTAGTAACAATATGGCGGGGGCTAAGGCGGCTGAGTTTGGAGGGAAATGGTGTAGCCAAAATGGATACACCAATTTTTCTCTTGAACTTGACTCCATGATTATTGCCGAGATGCCTACAGAAAGAGAAACTAACAACTTGAAGATTAAGATGGTGATTGATAGAACCTCCAACATTGTTCAACATGCTAGAATTAATGTAAAGCATTACCTCAGAGAAGGTAACCAGGTAGTCGATTGTCTTACAAAGTTCGCCACAACCACAAATCAGAGGAGAGTGTTTCACTCATTCCAACAACTTCCTAATAGTGTTAAAGACCCTTTCCTGTTAGATAAATGGCAGCTTCCTAGCATAAGGACGAAGTATGAAAAATCTAATTTTTTCGTTAGTTAATATGTTCATAGATTTTTTCAGGTAGGAGGGCTTATATATGAACCTCCTTTCCTGTTTTTTTTTGTTTGTGATGGAATCATCGTTGTTGTATTTTTCTGAGGTAAGGTATAGCCCCCCTCGTTGCACTTTTTTAAAATACAACACAACCCATATCTCTATCTGGAAAATTTTATTTAAAAAAAATTATGGTCAAGTCCTAAGGTGAGTATATATTAATTAACTGTGAGTTAGTAATTATCCAAGTGCATGGCATGTATGTGTCATATATTAACTAAATTGTGTGATCAAGACTCTTAAGGTTAGGGGCGGTTCTGTTTAACCAGTAATCTCTAAAAGCTTTTAATGTTCATGGTGCTAAGTCATTTTAAATTAACCATTTTCAAGGTGTATACATATACATATACATTTTTTCTGCCGAAGCTTATAGAATTCGGTAATCTCTCACTATAATACATAGGTTTGTCTCTGCTTAAGGCATATTTGTTTTCACTTACTGAAGGTCTGAATATTAATTATACAGATTTTAGTTATTGTATATTCATTATTTAGATTTAAATTTTAATCATGCATGTCCCAATTATTATGTACTTTTGTATTTTAATTTTTCAACCACTTAAAGGATTTTGAATCGTAATGATTAAGACCGCATAACAAAATAATTAGTTATATCATTAAGATGCTATTCGTTCAGCACTTCTACAAAGATGATATTTCACCATTACTCCATTCCTTTCACCACTAATCGTCTCCGTCCGCCATTATCAACTATCACCACCTACCACCCACCATCGCCACCTTCACCATAATTACCACCTTCACCAACCACCATTACCACAATAACCACCAATCACTGGCGACAATCACCACCACCAGCCATGGACCATTATATATCGCTAATCATTGCTATCAATCACTATCAACATTAACTATTATTATCATCCACCATAATTGTCGGCCATCACCACCAACTAACACCATCAACCACCATCATTAATCACTACTAGCTACTATCCACGATCACCACTAGCTATTATCCACAACCATCACCATCAACCACCACCACCACCCCCAGTCAGCGTTAACAACTACCACCGTTAGCCATAATCACTATCAACCACCGTATAATGTTTTAAAAATATATTATTGATGTTGTGTTAGATTAAATAGTATTTTGTTAAAATTTATATTTATTAATTTTTAAATAAAAATAAGTTCTACACATCAAATATTAACAAATTATTAATTTTAATTATTTAATATTCAAATCTTAATACAATATATTAATATTACAAAAAAATATATTCAAATCAAACGTCTTAATTTTAATACACATCCACATATTCATATGTATACTCAAATTCAAATGTCTTACTAAAAATAAATGGGGTTTTGACACAGTGACCTACAAAAACAAAACTATTTACCCTTGTTTACCTATTTATTTTTCTACTCATAAACTAATTACATTTCCTACCCATAGTAATTTTTGTGGGGAATTTTTCTTTATTCTCCAATTCTTTTTTATTTCTATGCTTCTTTTCTTTCTTTTTTTCTTTTCTCCTTTTCTTTTTTCTCGTTTTCTTCTTATTTTTTTATATCCTTTTCTAATTTCATTTCACTTCTTTTGTTTATATTCTTTTGATCTTCATAATCTAATTTCATTTACTTTTTTCACCATTTTTTATTATTCTTTTTTTTTTATATTATTACTAAAGAAAAATCAAATTGTGTACCAATTAAATGTAGCTAATACAACCAAAAAATATTAACTAACATATAATACCAGTATAGTATATAGCTATACCAACAGGGTATACAATTGTATGCAAAGAGTTAAAAAAATTTAATTCAATTATTAAACTGAAATAATATCAGATGTCAATAAAAATTTAAAAAATTCAAAAAGGATCTAATTGTAAGAGTATACCGTTACATTATATATATATATATATATATATATATATATATATATTTGCATTTCAATTTGCCCCTCACGCTGGGAAAAGCTTAAAGCAAATTAAAAGAAAAAGGCAAGTGAATTTACGGGTAATAAGTATACTATTATAGTATATTGTATACTATTACAGCATATTGCTACTGTATATTACATATTATTACAGTATACTATAATAATATATTGTATACTATAATAGTATACTGTTGCAGTATAACTATATACTCCTATAGTATATTGTATACTGTAGCGGTATACTATTAGGTAACTCTGTTCTTCTTCGGTTATTACAATATACCGTTGCAGTATATTGTAAACTATAATAGTATACTGTTGCAGTATAGCTATATACTCCAACAGCATATTGTATACCGTAGCAGTATACTATTGGGTAGCTGTGTTCTTTTTCGATTTTCAACTGCAATTTCCAACTCAATCACCTTAAATCAGCTCCAAATGCTATCAAATTTCAGTATGAACTTCCAGAAGGTATTATAAGCAATATTTAACAGCACCCACTTTGAATCAAACAAGAAATCTTCAAAATAAAAATTTTAAACCAAGGCAAGAGCAAGAGCTAGGGAAAGAATAATCAATAAAAAGTGGAACAGAATTTCTCTGCTTCTTTTAAAGGAGCAGAGAAATTTGGGTTAAGGCCCAAGATTAAAGAAGGCTTGGTCTTAATTTTAGTAAGTCCAGATCCTTGAATTATTTTCTTGTTTGCTACTTCTTGACTTACTTGTAATTTGTTATGATATTCTCTGTTCCTATGAAGATTTTCCCCATCACGACCCCTCTATCACGACCCCTCTAATGGCACCCACTCTGATCCTTCCGCTGCTAACAATTCTGCTAAAGTACGACTATGTCTATTTTTACTTTCCCCAGGTGGATTAATTTATGTAATGGTAATCTTCATTCACTAATTTAAAATCCTAAATTTGTCTATATTTGCGTAGGGCAATTTTTCAGTTAGTTTGGTCTACTGATGTTTGAGTTTGTGTGTTGGGTGTCTAAATAACCGAGTAAATAGTTTGGACCCCATGGGTAGGAGTAGTAAATAGTTTGGGCCTGAGCATTAAAGGGTAAATAGTTTGAAATTAATAGATATAAAGTGAGATTTTTCCAAAATACACATTGAGCCTCGGTCTTCTCGAAGCAAACAAAAAATAAGTATAATTTAAATGTATAATTCAACCCCCACAAGTAAATTGGAAAAATAAACTAAAGAGAAAGAAAACTAAGGTGCTCAGGTAGGGGAAATTCCAAGAACGACAGATAACATTAGACATTAGTCTATCATAAACAATGCATTAGCAAAATTAAACAAAGTCGTTTTTGACATAGTTGAAATAAAAATAGTAAGTTGCTTAAGTAGCATCCATTCTCAAACATCCCATGATGGAGAATGAATCTTCTTCCTAGTTATAATTCAAACATAGGCTTATACATATAAAGAGTATCAAATTTCAGCTCAAATTACAGAGAAGGAGATAGAGAGAGAGAGAGTGACAGAGAATTGAAGATGACCTGAGTCCTAACCATGGTTGATGAGTCTAGTTGAAGAAGTACCCAAGAGACCCCAAAATATCTCCCTAGGGTAACTAACTTCTGATGCATTGGAACTCCATATCCATTTAATGGAGTTCCTGAAAAAAGTTAATGCAATATGATAAAGCTAAACAGAATACTATCCACTATCCCCCGCTACAATTTTAAGTAAAAGGGGCTAAAATTACCCTATTCTAGCCCCGACCTACACTTTTTACAACATTAAAAACAAACAAACATCAACAGTAAATTCAGACAATTCCTCTTATCCTCAAGAGACATTGCTGGCCTGTTAGACACATAGTGTGTGATTATCAAAATGAAAATTTAAAAAAAGATTTTCAAAAGGTGATTGATCCTAGTCTAAGTTCTAAAATCCTAAGACTAGTTAATAGTTAGCAGTAACAAAAACTTGGGACATCCTCATGCCCATGATATCACAAATATTTCTATAACATCTACAAGTTAATAGGAGTAGCTTAAGTTGGAGGGATTAGCCATTTCAAGATCCACATTAAGGTGAAGTTGAAAAGACTACAAGTTGGAAAATTCTTGAATTTACAATTCTTTTTTTTTTTAAAATATAAACTAACTGATCAAGACTTTTTAGTTGAGCCCTTCACAGGCAAAATCTTAAAACAATTTGCTCAGCCTTTTCCAGGGCTAAGCTTTTATAAAAGAGAAAGATAAAACATGATGACCAACTCAGCTCTTTTGATAGCTTGAGTTGGTGATGATGATGATGAGATGCATATGCATGCTTTGTTTCTCTCTTGAAGGACCCTTTCCTTACAAGAGAAGAAATGGTATGGAGAATTTTTACTCCACATTTTTTGAACGTACCCCTTTGGGGGGCCTTAAGCTTCTGGAAAAAGCCCGTGTTCCATACGCGGGCCTCCATTTGACAAAGAGAAAGATGCAAGAGAACCATGGTTAGGCCAAAGATCCTTCAGTATTTTTTTCAGGTACCATTGTAGATGATCAATGTTGTATCGATCTCTCTTGACCAGTTGACAATTATAAGTCTCTCTTAACGATGAGGTATTGGTGCACGCAGCGTCATTGTCACGCCTGTGGCACAGCAAAACAAACTGTCAAAGATATTAGTACCTCCTTCCCACCAGAAATCAATAGCAGCGCAATTAAAAAAAAAATTAATGAAAAAAATTAGGGGTGGATGGGATTGGAGGAAATTCACATCGAGGAACTAGCTACTAGCAATTAGAATTTCATTCAAAGATGTACCTTATTTCCTTCAATTATCACATAGAAAGGCATTAATGAAACAAATAAGAAACCAGATGATATTAATTGTTGGTAGGCCATAATTTGATGGCGCGCTTTAAGTTTGTTGACAGTTGGGTGTATTGATATTGTAAAGTCAAAAACCGTTGAGATTTCAATGATAGCTTGAAAATGGGGCTTCTTTGTGATGTAGAGGCCTTTTCTTAGTTGTAGTCTTAAATACAAACTGATCAAATTGACTCTGACTTGGAATTAGTTTCAAGTACATGCAGGTAAAGTGAAAGTGATAAATTTCCAAACATAAAGTAAACATTAAAAGGGTAAGGGCTTTAAGAAAGTGTTGGTTCTCTTTTCCAAGGCCTAAGCTTTCGGGTGAACACCACATATTCTTTCCCAAGAATTACTTCTTCGATCGATTTCATTTGTATGATAGTGTTTGACTAGACACGTAGTTTAAAAAAGAAAGAAAGACTTTTGACAAATATCAAAAGTACTTAAATCTATGATATTAAACAAAGTAAAAAGTAAAGAGAAGAATTGATTGGGTGTGATATACAAACCTGAATGCAGTGCGGGTGAGGGAGCGAGGGAAATGGGGGTACCATAGTGCTGTGCTGGATAACCCCCACCAGTGGAGTTGATAGCAGCAGCTGAATACTGGAAGAGATGGTGTGGGTACTGAACCCCGCCATACCCCTGGCTGGCGGCTGCGTAGCCAGTGGTTGCTCCACCGTTTCCTTCTCCAAAATTCATGTAAGGGTAAAAGGCAGCAGCTGCACTGGATAACACACCACTTGCCGCAGTGCCATACACAGGATATTGGCTAGCTGCTCCTCCATACACGCTATAGTAACCCTGCACAAATTAACAAACATCTCATACTAATGTCTAGCATTACTCTACATTAATAAAACTCGGCCATCCAATCCATTTCATTTCATATGACAGTGATTGATTGGACACAAATTTTAAGAATATTTTTGTCACGTACCAAAAAATATCATTTGAACTAGTGATCTTAAACATGCATGTCATAATATTTCTGTTGTTATCAATTAATATTATTAAGGTAAAATGAGGAAGGGAAGATTCATAACATGTTTGAGATTGGATATAGTTGTTACTTTTATTGTATAAGATAATGGAGTATCATTTTTTTTAAAAGAAATTAAAAAGGAAAATATTGATGGCATTTTTGTTTAGGTAAAGTTGGAAAAGATTGAATTCCATTACAAGTACAGAATTTGCTCAGAAGTCTGACAAAGTTGATTGACGGGTGACTGTAAAAGAGTAAATTAAATTTCATGCATCCCACAAACTGAAGTTCAAGATTCATGCCTTCTTTAGATGGGGAAAGGAAATAAAGGTCAACAATTAGCTTTTGACTAAAACCACATGATTCCTGCTTTGGACATCGTGCATTCCAACTGCGTCACCACAAACTTGTCTTTGACTTATAATACTCCGTTATTTTCAATTATGTAGCGTAATAAGATTAAGCGATAGGTATTTTTTCAAATGAATTAATAAAAAGATAATGTCACATATAATGAAATAAATTAGATGCAAAATTCATTCCTTTAACAACCAAGTAACATGCATACTGTAGTTCAACTGTTAAATGAAAGATACATAAGATAATAGGTACAAACCGTAGGGTAAGTGTAATCTGGCGAGTAGGGAGAGTACCTGACAGTTTGTTACAAGAAAAAGAAACCAAAAAACATTAGAATGTGAAACTTGGTATACAAGTTTTCTAAGTGAACAGTTTGAGTAATGTACAATATCAATTAATGCATGAGTCATTTCTTGTCCTAGGATGAGCTGTGTATACATGATAATGTCGACATTACCATGTTCACTCACTCACACATACACACACAGTGAGTGAGTGAATGAGAGAGAGAGAGAAAGTGGGGGAGACATTATGATAGATAGAAAAGAATGGTGGAGTGAGTGAGCATGCGTGGATAGAATCTCTTATATAATGAGGTGTTGTGTGTGACCAATGAGTTGGCATATGCACGTGAAGACTCTCTCGTCCCCCCCCCCCCCCCCCCACAATGAAAAAAAAACAGGTTATTGTATATATTACAGTTGTAGAAAATAAAAAGCATATTCTTTAAAATATAAAGAGTGTCATACCCATAAAGATTGTAAGGGATGCCTTGTTGGATGGCATAATGAGGGAAGGTTGCTGCTGAAGGAAAAGCTGTGCCCAACCCACCTGCTGCTGTTTGAAACCCTCCTTGAAAACCACTCATCACCCTAAAGTTCCTGCCTCCACCTGCTCATTATCATTAATTAAAGTGTTTTAATTATAAGATCATACTAACCATAAAAAGGAAAAGATAAATAGAGGAATGCTTGATGTAAAATCTTGAAGCAGAAGTTTTCCTTATTGGACACAGTGGGTTTGGATAGAGTACTAGTACTAGTATTAAGTTGAAAGAAAGGTAAAAATAAAACACCCAAGGTATGGCAAAAAAAAGTAAAAGGTGTTTTCTTGCACAGAAGAATGAGCTGTCATGCTTTTGTAAAACATATCCTGTCACATGGTATAGCTGGTGGTGCTAAAGCAAAGAGCATCCTATATATAAAGTGGACTCTTATTCATAAATCCAAGCCAACATAGACACAATCTTAACAAAGAATTACTACAACTTTTTCCCATAATGGGGAGAATATTCATCATGCTGCATGAAGAAGAGGAGTATATAGATATATCTGCTTAAAAAGCAGTCAAATTTACATAATGACCATCCACTAATTAATAAGTACTATCCAATGGATGTATGTACCATGTATAATTAAAAGATTTAAATAAAAAAGTACAACATTTGGCAGTTAACTATACCATTTGTGATGAAATAAAGCAAAATATGCTAGAAAAATTACATGTGATAATAGGTATAAACATTTAAAAGGTGATTAACCTACTGAAAAAGGAGAAACTAATTATAGTGTATACCATGTTTAGGGGTAGTAGGCTTAGATCTTTGAACACCCATGGAAGCAAGATTGCAGTTGGCCCTTCTGCCATCAATGACAGGAGCAGCATCCACACAAGCTCTCATCGCTGCTTCTGGCTCACGAAATGTTACCTATTTTTGGAAGCAAAGCCAACATGATCATACATCAAACAAAAATATTTAAGAGATCTTCGCTACTAATTTCCTGTCATTTCTTTTAAAATGTTAATTAAAAAAAACTTACCCAAGACATGACTGTAAAAATAGTGTATTTTTTTAACTAACAAATTAAATACTACTCCAAAGGTAATTATTAGATGGAAAAAAAAAATTAAAGTAGCATACAAAGCCATAGCCTTTGGATCGTCCAGTAGCCTTATCAGTGATGACGACAGCCTCCAAAATATCACCAAACTGTTCAAAGTATTTCTTCATGGTTTCCTTTTGAGTCTCCCAAGCCAAACCTCCTACAAACACCTTTGTGTATGTCGTGTCCCCAAATTGACTTGATGGAGTCATCTTCTCTGAATAATAATCTGAAAAAAGTGGATATGGATCTGGATATTACGATCTAGTAGATGAAGTGAAGGATTTTTGAGGAGAGAATTGAAAGGGAGACAATTAGGTCAGAGAGGAGGAGGAGGAGGGAAAAAAAGAGAGGGAGAGAGAGTAAAATGGGAGGGAAGAGAAAGCAAAAGAAAGAGATAGAGGGGGAAAAAGGAGGAGTTACGGACATGAAATTATTATTAGTATACTCTAACATTGCCTGCCCCCAACTGCCTTTACACACTGTCTTCCTCTACTCTCTTCACGCGCTCTTTTTCTTCTCCCCCTTTTCCCCGCCACCACTTTTCAATCTCTAGATTTATTTTTATTTTTATTATTATTTTCTGATGGAGAAATAAATATGATGATAGAATCTACTAACAAAAATACCGACAACCAATTACTGTAATCTTCTTTTTTTTTTTCTTCAAATTATTAAATCCTTTTCATTTATGTTCGTCTAGAATTTTATTATTATAATTAGTTTTTAAATAATATTGATTTTTGATTATTTTATTTTTTAAAACACCTTTTATTTGAAATTTGAGCTTCTTCGGACCGAACATAATTCTTGGACTTCTTTTGATTTCCCACCCGGTGTCCAGTATCCTTATTGGGGTCCGACTATATCCGGATTCGCGCCGAATAGAGCCCATTTCGGGGGGTAGCGCTCCCTACCAAGGATTTTTCATACCCAGGACTCGAACTCGAACCATCTGGTTAAGGGAGGAGCAGCCACATTCACTGCACCGCATCCGCCGCATAATTCTTGGACTTAACATTAACATATGTACTTCTTAAGTACTCAATTACATAGGATAATGATATTAACTGATAGTGACGCTATATGGGTTGCAAAATGCATGTGAAAGTATTTTAGGACTCCCATTTGTCACAATCTATTATTGAATTTACATTTATTAGAGCCCTTCTATTTCAAAGTGATTGTTTGTAATTTGACCGGCCACATATTTATTATTTGTTCAGGGAACCTGTGGAGTCATGCTCTATCGATTTTGTTTAAAGTAATAGACATAACTCGTGCATCACATTTTGTTCTAAAAAAACTATTTTAGAAAAATATATGCATTATTTTAACAAGCGGAGGAAAGACAATATTTAACTTGAACTTTAGGATTGGAATATTTGTGCCTTCTAAATTGACAAATTCGTTTACAAGCACAAAAAAAGAATAGGTAATATATACAAAAGTTCAACGTAAAAGGCAAAAGATCTTTCAACAAAGTTGCTAGTTGACGTATGTGTTTTGGTTTGGAGAAGTGAAGCCATCTAATCACTTTATTAAATTGAAGAAGATTGCATTACATTTAACTCTAAAATCAAAATGTTTTTTGTGTAGGAAATATATTATAATTGTAATGAATTTTAATTTTAATTTACGTATATACATAAGAAAAAATAGAAGGATAATGTCTTCATGTCATGATAAAGAAATGAACCACTTAAAAGAAGAGGATTGATACTATATGATTTTAGAAAGCGATGTTCTACCTTCAAATTGAACTTCCCAAATTTTCTTTGTATGACAATTTCGACGTGCTTCATTAATAGCCAATTAAATTAAAATGGAAGAAATATGAAAATAAATAAAAAGAAATTTGAGAGGAAGGTGGTATACACATCAGTGGGGGAGAGAGTAGGATAGTGAGTGGTGGGTGTATTATTATGTTTGGCCCAGGCTGGCTGTTGCTTTTTGATTTTTTAAAATGAAGGATATGAGATTAGGAAAGAAGGGCTGACTTTGCAGTATATTTACGGAAATACCAACCGTGAGTGGCAAAACACAGTGGGCAGAAACGGAACGGAACGGTCAACCGTCAAACCATTGGGGAAAGCATCTTTGCCAGTGTCTGCTCGTCCAAATTGTGTACTTTTGGATTAGGGTTTGGTGGGTTCCCTTTACAATCTACAAAAAGGAAATGAGAAAATAAAAGAAAAGTTTTCAAATGTAGAAATAATGTTAATGGCAGAGAATTAACGTTTGGTTCACTTATTTTTTTTGGTCGAACAAAAAAGATTTTATATATCACTTGTCAAAATTACATCTCAAATACAATTAGACTACTCTCTAATTGTTCTTACTATCACTTATTTACAATCATATCTATACATTTTCTCTATAAATATTTTCAATCCAGTTTTTCTCTCTACTCGTATGGCTTCTTCTAATTGCTTCAAGTGCTTTATACTTGCAATCTTGCTTAATCTGCTTGTATAACTGCCCAGGTCGTATCACCTTATGTTCCCATAATGCTATATTCCTTGCTCTCCATATGTGATAAACAACTGCTGCTAGTATAGTTAACACTACAGCTCTGCATGATTTCCCTTTGATATTCCTGGTCATTCTCTCCCTAGCCCTGCAGCTCCAGNATTCCTGGTATCTATGCTTAACCACCTCAGCGTGTCTTCTATGCACCTCCTCGCAAGTGGACATTCAAAGAACAAGTGAGCAATTGTTTCTTCTGCATTTCCACATATCTCACAAAGGCTGTCTTTGCTGATTCCCATTCGTTTCAGCCTTTCTTTCGTCATGAGT